GGGGTTTAGGTTTTAGGGGCTTAGGACACTGTTCAGGGTGTCTGTGGTTGGAGGTTTTGTACCACGAGGTGAGGGTTCAGGGGTTCAGGGATTTCTAGCATCGGGCACCTCAAAATTGGAATGCTTCGGGATGGTTCCGGCTGGAGCTAAGCCGCCGATGTCTCCTTCCGCAGCCCAAGCCCCGCTAACTCGTCAAGCTTTGGGTCAGCCAAAGAGCATTGGAATATGTCATATGTCGCCCTATGTCCTCCTTTACGAAACTTAATCCCGCAGCCCATGGCAGTTGCGATGCACAGTGCTTCAAAGCCCCGACCCTCGCGTCAGGGTTTAGGAGACTTGCAAATGATCGAAAACTTCTGTTTGTGCCTTTGCAGCTCTGAAGCTTGTGACAAGTTGGACAGCCTCCCAGGATTTTATGGGTCAGCTGGACGACTAGTCCGTGCGATACGGCAAGAAAAACAGAGATTATCAATTCCAATAATCACACTCCTCCCCCTGCCAATATTATCTGGACAATTGAAGAAATTATCCCTGTCGCCACTTATAAGGCTGACTAATTTTCTATAGATATCTAATATTATATTTAATTTATGATTAGATTTTTCTGATCAAAATAGACAAAATCTATTTTGAGAAATTGAAATAAACATATTTTTTAGAATTGGATAATTTATTTTCTTCTTATCTTTACTATTTTCAAAAATTCTCAAATCCATCTAAATAGAATTCAGTTTAAATTGATATAATTATTCAGAATAAATTGAAAATCTATTATATTAGCTACGAGCTTCGATACGATTATTTATAAGAAAATTATCATTTATAAATTATAGAAATTATCTCCAATTTCTCTAATTTGATACTTAGAATCAATTAAAAATACTATATTTATTAAGAAATATTGATTTTCAAAATTTAGTATATATTGATATTGAATAATATTATTGATAATATTATATGAATATCTATACGATATTTATTATGAAATATATAAATATTTTGAAATATTGGTATATTTATATATATGAAATAATCTTTAAGGTATTCTTATAAAAAAATATTTATTTGGGATATATTATATTTCAG